TTCGCGCTATTCGGTGTTGCGACCGCGCGGGCGTCGGCGCGCGGCGTTTGACGGCGCGACGAAAAATCGGTCGATCTCACCGCGTAGGCATTTCGCGTGCGCGAAACGCACACAAGTGTGCCGTACGTAAATCGATCGTGACCGTCCGCGGCGGATCCACAGCACACGTACTGCGGGTATCGATTTCGTACCCGGCTCGCGCCGCACACGCAGCACAACGTATGCGCGTTGATAATCGATTCGGTTCGACGGTGTCGATTTCGTCGTCGTTCGTGTCGTCCGGGCTTCTGGCGGTTTTCCGGCCGGGGGGAAACCGGCAATTATTATCCATACCTACGATTCCCGTGCGTCGCGCGTCGTCGTTGCCGGTAAACGGCACGGTACTCGACGCGTCGATATTGGGTTATAGGTTTTTTTTGTTTTCTAAAAAAAAGCCGTGCCGACCGTTTCTTCGTAACTATTCCGTGCACGCGCGTTTACGATAACCGTAATCTCCGAAATAACGCGCGTACGTCCCGCGTCCCGTGTACGCGGCGTATAACACGCGGGTACCTGCCGCACGCTCGACTCGCGGTGACGCCGCACGGCCGAATCAAGTAGCCGTCGGGACGCCGTACGGCAGCCGATCGCGTTCGAACCCTCCGACGGATTCGAAAACCGTCGTCGGAACGTACGGCAGTTTTCCGAAAAAACGAAAACAACCGTTCGAACGGCGGTCGCGATAGCGCGGCGCGCCGTTCGGGAGCGTCCCCGGTTTGCCGACCCGACGAAAACATCGCGCACCGGACGTCCGGACCGTATGTTTTGTACGCGTCGTGACGTGGGCCCCGCGGTTCGCGGGCCCGGACGTCGAGCGAAACAGACGGTCCGTCATAACCGACTGCGGCGGAGAGATGGCGGAACGGTCTGATGTCCCGCGCGCGATAACAACGAATAGGCGAAAACGCGGGATCGCGCGGCGACGAATGGGCGGCCGCCGAGAACTGCGACGGTCGCGACCGGGTGCGCGTAGGGACGGGTGCGCGTCCCATAGTCGCCGACACGCGGCCCACGCGTTTCGGCGCGGCCGTTATCGTTATCGTCGAGCGTACTCAGATTAAAGCGGTTACATCGCGAATTCGGCACTTGGCTACATACATTTCCACCCGTACTCGGAGTGGGCGCGCACACGCAGCGGCCGGACCGGGGGCGGGGGGTTTCTCTACGAGCGCGCGGTCCGTTGCTCGACTGCGTGTAGCGCGCGTCAGCGGACGTGTCTCTGTCGCGGCGGACGGGGACCCGGGACACGGGGTTTTCCGCTTGCATTGTCCTCCGGATCGACGATAACAACAACAACAGTCCGCCGCCGTCGCGCCGCGGTGAGTCCGGCGGGGCCCCAGACGCGCTATTGTCGTTTTTTCGTCTGGCCGGGAGAAAAAAAAAAAATAATAAACAAATAAATAAAAAAAACCTATACGCCGAGAGATCGACTGGACCGGGGAGGGGGCGGCGGCGGCGGCGGCGAACAGAAATAATAGAAAGAGATCCTCTAGAAACACGGGGACGGTACTATTATAATGTATACGCGTTACGTTGCGACGTCGTCTCGGGCGCAGTGTTTATCTTGGACCATTAACATTCCGGCGCGCGTGCGTAAAAAATAAAATATTCTAAATATTATTATTATTTATCTTATACGCAGCAGCGTGTGCGTACAGACGGCGGCGGCGGCGACGAATCATCGTGTCTGCGGGCGAATCTGTATGATCGCGCAGGTACATTACAATAATAATACAATACGAATAATATGAATAAAAAAAAAAAAAAGTCTATTTTGTTTTTTTTTTTTCGACATCGATGGAAAAAGGGTGCGTTTTTTTTTTCTCTCACTCTCCGGGCGCGTCGCGCACGTAACGCGGCGCGCGCACCGCGTGTAGGTCGGCAGCCGGCGACGCGCGAAGGGAGGGAAAAAATAGCTCCGCGAGATTTTCGTGTGACTGGTTTGCTCGCCGTCGCCGCCGCGGTCGCGCTCGCAGCCGGGACGCGGTAGAACTGGTTTTCACATTGCGTTATACGGCGGCGGGGCCCCCGCCGTCGAGAGACAAGTGCGCTGCTCGCCGCCGCGGCCCGGAGAACCGAATATTCCAAGGCCGTCGCGTGAAAAAAAAAAAAAAATACTAGTAGTAGTAGTAGTAGTAGTAGTAGTAATAATAATAAGACGGGGGGGAAAAAAAAAAAAAAACGCCGTCTGAAGACCGCGGCGGCACGGAAGGGTTATAACTGAGAGTCGACCCCGCCGCCGCCGCCGCCGCCCGCCGCCGTATAGTTGTGCCGAAGCATAGCGGCAGTCATTAGCGCAAGGGCACCTCTATAACGCCCTCCTCTCCCCCGCCTCTCCTCCGTCCGTTCGTTCTCTCCCCCCCCTCCCCCTTTACACGCACGCGCGGCGGTGCGCGTTCGGTCTCGGTAAAACTTCATGGACCGCTAAACGTCTCGTCACGGACCGACGAAATTCATCGTGTGCGCAGACCGTCGTCGCGCCGCGCTATAGGGACGCGTACGCACGCCGTCGGACGACCGCGCGTCTGTTCGCTATGGTTTTTTTTTTTTATTATTATTATTATTATTATTACCCGACGGCGATAATAATGATAACGATTCGTCCGTCGCAATGTTTCGGGCGCACTCGTACGTTACGTTGTATTGCCCGGTATAATGGAGAAGGAACGAGAAAAAAAACCGCTAGAAATGGTGCGCGTCCCTCGGTCCCGCCGCCGCCGCCGCCGCCGCGGGTCGCCGCGAGATTTATTGCGACCCCGAGAAATCGCGCGGACAAAAGGCGCGTGGAAAAAGTCTCTCGGACGGTCACTGCCCACGCGTTATTGCCATCGCTATTGCCGTATTATAGAGTGCGCGCTCGCAATACTATTCCGATATTACAATACACACGATAATAATTCATTGTGCGCGCACAAGGGTTACGCGCGCTGCCCGGTCCTTTTTCCCAAATCACACCCGTTTCCCCCGTTTCTGAGGTGATTTACTGCACCGCGCGCGCGCTCCCACGAACGGACGGCGCATTCCGTAACGTCGTCGTTTCCTGTAACGAAAACATCGTTAATGCGTTTGCGAGCGTTCACTGCGCCGGGCTGCTATTTCGGCGTACCCAGGTCCGGACCGCGGCGACGGCGGTTACGGTGTACGGCCGACGGACGCGGGCCCCCCCCATCCCCCGGAATAATCGCTAAAGCCCACCCCGAAAAAACCCGACGGTTTTCGGTGCGCAATACGCCGTAACGGAGTGTCCGCGGCACGGACCCGAGCTTTGGCCCGCCCCCGCTTCCTTCACTCAACGTCCAATACATTTTTTGGCGCCCGCGGGTCGGCCGACGCTCACTCCGCTCAGAACCGTTTCATCCGTTCCCCGACGGTTCGCCGTGACGGACCGACCGCCGTATTACCGTACACCGGCAGCGGTCGCGCCTGCGGCGAGTGCGGACGTCGTTTTCGTTTTTAATCCGACCGAACGGTGTGTGCGACGGGTCCGGGGTTCGGGAGCGACGGGGGCGATCGCCTCCATTCCCCCACCCACACCCCCCGCCCGTTCACTCTCCAATACGCTCTCGGCTCGAAATCCATCGCCTCCCCCCCCCCGTCGTAAATGCGTTTATCCCGCCCCCGCAGTTGTCTTGTCTCCCGGATCCGCCCACCCCCCCCCTTCCGAATACGCGTTGCGGCGTGCGAATTTCGCGAAAACGACATTCGACTCCGACGGGCCGGACCGGACCGGAACCGTTCCGTTCGCGGGTCCGGGTCGAACGTAATCGTTTCACGGCATGGCGGATCCGTAACGCACGGGTCGAGCTCTTTTCCCCGTCGGCGATCGCTCGCGGCGGCCCGCGAACCATCGACAATATCGCCGGCGTTACAACACCGGCATAATTGGTCGCGGTAACGCGCGCGCGCGGTCGGATCTCGTCCGCGGGGAACCGGTAGAAAGCAAAAAAAAAAAAAAAACGCGCGCGGGTCCGGACGACGATAAGTCTCGTTACGAACGCGTTATCGTCGTTATCGCTTCACGGCAATATTTATTGCGGCGGCGATAACCGCGATCGAATATCGACGGACACCGGGGCGGTTCGGGGTTCCGCGGCGCGCGCGTATTCCGGTCCGGGGAACGCGCGCGCCGCGGTCCGACGGCTTTGTTATTGTTATTGCCGTCGCGTGCGCGCGGCGCGTGGTTCTCGTCATTCGGCCGCCGATAAAAATCGATTTTATTGCGCGAGACGGTAAAACCGCCGACGCTCGCAATGCGGACCGTAACGCGATAACGCGACGGCGTCTCCCGTTCGGCAACGTTCCGGGACCGGCGACGGACGAAGAGCGAAAATAAATCCCCCCCCGTCCCCGTCCCCGTCCCCCCTCGATTGTTTCGACCGAATAAATTACGTTCTCTTATCGCCGGGCGGCGGACGGTCCCGAGGTCGCCCGAAAAGTGTCCGACAAACGTTACGGCCGTCCGAAATTCCGTTGCACCGTAAACGTTTTTACCGCAGCCGTCCGACGTCGTTTGATGTTATTGCGTTTCTCGCCGAATCGGACATCGTGAACCGTCCGGAAGTGCAGCGCCGGAAAGACCAATTGCGTGCGGAAATGTCTGCGCCGTACCGAAATAACGCGAATCGCGTTTTTTTTTTTTTTTTCGTAATTCGGTTTTTAACAAATTCTTACAACAAACGCCTTCTCCGTTTTTCTCTGCCATACGCCACGAACGCAAGCACAGCTCCACATAGGCAGTGACTCCTCCTGCATCATGCGTTACTCGGCTAATGTATTTCGTCCCGGGCCTTCCTCTCGGTCTCGTTTCTTCTTTCATGCCTTCAATCATTTAAACTACGCAGTTCGTCCCCGTGCCTCAACGCGCGTCCTGTCAACTGCCATCTCCTTCTCCTTATGGCGTGCATCAGTGTTCGTTTTTCATACATTGTCCTCGAGACGTGTTCGTCCGATCTTCTCTCGGTTCAGCTTGTTCTCTGCGTCTTTCTCCGACGCCACATCTCCAGAGCTTCCAACGTGTCTTTCTCTTTTGCATTAATTGTCCACGTCTCGCTTCCGTATTGTGCCACGCGCCAGACGTATATTTTATGAGGCTTTTCTTCGTTGTAAATACGTTCACATTTTTTGACGTTAATGATTTTTTTCTTTTTATGCGGATGCATTTTTCGCTTGACCACTGTTATACAGGTGAAAAGTCGGGAAGCTAGTAGAGGGGAAATTTAACGTATAACTGTAAGCAACGATTAACCATCGGTAACGAAAAAACGATTCTGAAAGAAATTCGGTCGATAGTGTTGCTTTGTCAACAATACGTATGCCATATTGTGGTAAAATAATAACATGGGCAATGGACATTGTATATTGTGTCTTTAATGACATTCGTTAAATACTGTACCTATTTTCCCGTTTTCCCGACGTCATTCCCGGTTATTGGGAAAAATCAAAAAAAAAATCACCTCCCTAGAGTGCCTCTCCGGTCAGATTTACTTTTAGAAATAGTGTTAATCATTGTCAATCGGAGCGAAATCGCTGGTAGAAAAGTTGTCCACAGAAAAAACAATTGTAAAACTAATTCGTTCCTCGCTCCACTCGGAATCTAAAATGTATAAAACAAACTGTTTTTCGGCGCACTCGTTCCGTTTTTATTCGTCCGGCCTTGAACGATTTACTCAACGGAGTTTTCAGTTTCTTTCCGAATTATGCGGAACCGCCTTGTAAACGTGTAAAATTCCCGGTCGTCTTGATATACTGATCTGTGAATTTGTATCGCGTTGTTTTGTTTTTTTTTCCAACATACATATTGTATTGATCTTTCGGACAGTAGAGTTGTCGAACACTCGACACGGGCGTACACGAATTGCCTCCCATCTGACCCACCTGAATTGCCTCCTGTGAATTTTTTTTTTAAAAAGGTCACTCGAATCGCCTCCAGATTTCAAATATATCATTTACTCGAATCGCCTCCTATTTTAGGTAGTGACCTTTTTGTATCGAAATCGTTTTCTATTTCGATTTATTTTTAACTAAAAACAATTATCCATAGCTGAGTATTAGGTACACGACATTAGTAGACACATTAGTAGATATTAATACAAAAAAGCAAATAGGTGTACGTATTGTATCGAAATTGCGTGTATTTAAAAATAATAAAGAAAAAATAACATTATGTAACAGTAATAAAAAATTAAAGTAGTCAAAAATTAAAATTAGTTATGTATATTATGTATTAGTACGTACCTTCCGAGGTTTAAATTTGTATGCTATTATGTTTAAATATCGAAGTTTTGAAATTTCATTTTTATTTAATTTATCAATTAAGTTATTAATAAAATTTATTTTATTTTTAGTAGTTGCCTTTAATTTTTTGTTTCCTTTGTGGATGATCTAATTGAAATTACCGTATCCGAACTGCATTGATTTAAGTACATTCAAAAATGTATAAATATAAAGGTGAAGGATGAAAAATTAGAATTAAATGCCTTGTGGAATGATTTACAAGCGTTACTAGACCTTTGTGCGCCGCATGTCATTACAGCCCGCATTCTTGGTGAGAAAGTCAAATCATCTATACAATTTTCAACCAAATAACCGTGGTGGTCTTCATACGCCAAGACTTGGGTTTTAGAATTACTACCGAGAACATAAACTTTCTTTGAATACAGTATCAACATATGGATCAGGTAGGCTATGTTTTGTAAAACTCCCACATAACCATAACTCGGATACGTTTCGGCTTGGGTCGAAAACGGATAGGGTTCTTGAACGAAGCGAAATTTACGGATCTGTGTTTTTTTTCCCTTCTTAAATAATAACAATTGTATTACGTTTAAAGAAAACAAATTATACGAAAAGAGTTTAAATAAGTTATAAATGATTGTCTCCAAAAGCCTAAGTTTTGTGGTGGAGACAAGTGCAGCTCTTATTTATAATTGAGATTATACATTTTTAGACAGTTACATTAACGTGTCATCCGTTAATCAAAACGCCTGCGTTAGGTTAGGTTACACAAAGCGATTTCCATTGGTTCCCGATGGTTTTCGTTGGTAAAAAGCTAATCAAATTTAAAACCGACAACGCGTTACCCGGTCTACAGTTTTGGCGTTTCGGCACACAGAAATCGTAAAATTTCAAACGCGGTCGGACAGTCCGGACCGATAGATTTCGACGATCTATACAGTCGGGATTCATACAGCTAAAAGTTATCTTTTAGCCAACGACCGCCTATCGCCGATAAAACAGTGGCCTGCCCGCGCGGTGAAATTTATCGCTGTTATTTCCCCACCCACCCCCCCACCCCATGGGGGGTGGTGGGGGGGATTCGAGTACACTGTTAGGCATTGCCGGTCCGCGCGTACTCCCCGGGTTCGGCGCGCGCGCACCAGACACCTATTATCGTACGTTCATTGTACCCCGCGCAACAACAACGAATCCGAACGGATCAATTCGATCGAAACCGTTTCCGGTCCGTTGCCGTACTGCGCGTAACGCGGACCGCATAATAACCGTGTTGCATCGTTCCGAATCGACCCGTTTCGTTTTCGGTACCGATAAACCGTGACGAGGTGGTAATGATCGCCGCCAGAGCCGCGTAATAACACGATTTTTTTTTTTCTGTTCGGCCGCGGTCGCGCGGTACGACGGAAATCACGCCCGGTACGATACGCCACAGGATCTCGCGCGCGGCCGAAACGAGCTTTGCCCGCGTTTTGCGGCGAGCAAAACGGTAACGAGTCGGTAATATGGAAATAACGTACGACACTGCTAGTACGCGGAAGCGTCGAGAGACGAAACAACGGCCGGCGGTAAAAAAAAAATAACGCCAAAATACCGTGCCGTACCGTGTACGCCCGATACAAATATCACGTTATTCATAAACTACCGTAACAACATCGGAACAAACTCCAATCAGCCCGAACCGTATGCTGGAATACCGCGCAATCGTCTCCAGTCAATGTCCCCAGCATCGTCGCGAGTTCGTCGCAGCCGCGAAGCTTCCGACCGAGATTCGAACCCTCGGTCGGTGATCAGAATAGGTATACAATCTGTGGCCCAATGTTGCCGAGGGTCTTTATCGTAAAATGAAAAAAAATTATTATTAAACTCGAACGTTCGTTTTTCGATTCCGAGCACGGCCATAGTAATTTACCGATCATTTTGCGTTTCTGGGCTGAGGATCAGTAGAAAATTTGCGAGACGCTTTTATTGTAATGTGATAAAACTACGAGACGCCGTGTGCGTGTATTTGAGGTTAAAACATATCCACAAACACTGTTTCCGTGTAGCTGAGAAAATAATTAGGTTTTCTGTCTGTTGACGAATTTTTCATCGGAAATGTCGCCTCCTTAATAGTAGGTCATTTTCGCGGCCTTGTCGGTTTCCTTAATAATTTAAGAAAAACTGAAATATTTACGCAATAATTGTTTCTGCTATATTCGCAATTTGTTTCGATGTTGTAATTTGGTGTTGCAGATGCTTGACGTTTTCACCGAACACTTTTAGCGACTGTCGAGCTCCGTGTTTGAAAAGTTCGAGTTTTTTTTTTTCTGTCAATATTTACTATTTGGCCGTCTGCGTGGACGTTTTATCGACAGATTTCTACGCAAGCCGTAGTTTTCAATTCGAATTTATCGAAACGCGGTGTACCGAATCGTGCAGAATCGTTTTTTTTTTTTTGTCGGCAATGATTCGTATAGTCACGTACACAGATATAAATTCAATTACCCTGCAACGACTTTACATCGTCCTAATATATCCTTGTATCCTAAACATTCCCGAACCCTCGATTATATGTTTTAAATTATTATGCGTTCGATTTTGAATTAACGCGATAATTTGTTCCTCTCGGCTTGAGAAACAACAGAGTAAACGGGTACGTCGTAAATCGAACTGAAGACATTCCCATGAGTACAGTTTTGTACTGTACGAGTACAAAAAAAAAAAAAAAAAAACTTATTATTTTCACACAATGCCCGTGGGTACGTTTATGATGATAACTCATTACGGGGCGTTTGTATTTTTCTTAAACGCCGTGTAATTATTTGACCGGTGACTACGATAATTTTCAAAAGAATCGATCTATTTTTTTTTTTTGTAAAATTTAGTTTAAGCGATGTAGTGTAGCTTTAGGTAGGTAGGCGTGCCTACGTATACGTAACGTTTTAATTTTTGAGGACAAAATACCGTAATCCCACACCGGCGATTGGTCGTTTTGAATTTCGTATTTTTCAAATAAACACGATTTTATTTCGTAACAATATTATTGTTTATAGCCCATCGAAACCGCTGCTATACTGTTGTTAATTATTTTCAATTATAATTTATACGATTATTATTCACGCGTACTATTATCGGGGTTTACGATTTTTTACTGGTTTACGGGGTTTTTTTTTTTTTTTTCTGGTATTAATAACGTTTAGAGAGAAAGCTATCGTATTATAATGTACAATAATAATTCGACTACATAGAGTCGAATTAAAAATAAATTTCTCCCTCTCCCCCCCCCCCGCGCCCGCGACCCATCCGCATATTTGTATTCGTTTTTCGTATACGCGTGACGTGCGTGTAGATTTTAATCGCGTTCGGGACCGAGTGCAGCGCCGCGCGGCGGACGACTTCTGTACTATAAAAGCAAACGACTCCGGTACGTTCGTTCGCCGAGATCAATAATATTGTTAACGTTTCATTGATCTGTCCTATACGTCTAATTTTAAAATATTTTACACGAATAATCATCCGTTCGCGTAATGCTATGTAACGAACACGACGAAATATTCGCGCGTGGCGTTTTTTTGTTGACGAAACGATGAGAAACGTACGGCGAACAAATCAACAACACGATGCATTTTTTTCCTTAAAAAGAGCCCATTGCTTCATATCGAAATAATACATTTTACAATTTGTACAGACCGGTGCTACGGCACCTGTACTGCAGCCGCAGTGGATTGAAACCCGTACGGTTTGTGTGTTGAACGTGTGTTTTTCGTTCGTTTTTTTGCGTACGGGGCGTTTTACGACAAGGGCTGTTTGGTTGGGATACAATGCGCAGCCGAGCATAGTAATAATATTGTGACGATGACGAATGCCGGACACGCGAATCACTCTTTTAGGTGCCTATTCCAAATACCTATAGATTCCGGTTTCTAAATTGAAATCGCCACGCGTTATGATTCGTAATCATCCGTCTACAAATGTACAGCGATGCATGTTTTATGACAATTGCGCGGACCGACAGTTATTTTTCACGTTTTCGAGGAATAGTAGAGAAAACCGTATCGTTATAATATCCGTTTCAGCGATGATCGGCGAGCCGTTTATTTTTTCCCGATAACCGTTGTTTTTTTTTTTTTTTTTTCACGCAATGGATTCGCGCAAATACTTTTTATCGCGCGTTGTTTTTTTTTTTTTACATTTTTAAAAGTCGAACCGCGCCAATAATATTCTCCGGAACCCCGTAAATATCCAAAAATATTTCAGTCGAAAATCACGTTCAGCGCGTGTTAATATTGATTAGGGATGTGTAGACCGTGAGCTAGTCAAAGACCCAGCGATTCGACACTCTGAAACGAACCGAACGAGTCGAACCAGTATATCCAGATTCGACCGTCGAGTTCACGGTAACATATTCCAAATCCCAACGCCTTATCGGCCCGAACAATTTTATTGATATGATCAACGCGATCGACTTTTAAATCTCAAATCAGCATCGTTGATCGCTGTGTAGTACGTCCTGTTCTATTGGGCCGAGGCGGGCGGCAGTAATTTAATTCGAGTCCTAGGCGTTTTATTATTTGACATCTACATCGTGATAACATTATCCATTTGACTTAGGATGAAAGTCCGAATCGAGTTCAAACCACTGTTCAATATGAGCCCCGGGAGTCGCAACTCGACAAGGTGATGTGAATAAAGATTCACACCGAATCGAATAGTTGCCGGGAGGGTTGAACTGATAACATAGAAAAAAAATTAGTCAATGAACCGGTGAGTGGACTCGCTGATTCGACTCGGAAGGAAATCGTAACAAGCAAAATGATAAGAAAAATAAAAAAAAAAAATAATAATAATAAAAGGCCACTGATTGATTTAGGCCCGTCTCCCTCGGACCAAAACAACACGTCCGTACAGTTCTAAAGCAGAGATAAAACGTTAACGTTATTGTTATCTCGAACGGGCCAACGGCCGACGCATTCTATTTCGGGACGGCCGGACGATTTATTCTTCTTGTACGACAACTGTAGACCGACGCGAAACCACGCGGCGATGTCCGAAGGATATCAGTCGTACGATATTTACAATTCAATAGTATTGTTATTAATTAACGTCAATATCGTTGGTCTTGTCCGGAGCCTTGCGCCGAACGGACGTGGCAACACAATCAACACGCGCCGAACGAACCGGTTTTTTCTATTTTAAATTTGTCGGTTTAACGCTGCGGTTTCGCGGGAATATCGCTGTCGTCGTCGTATTTTCCGTGCGTTTTCGGCAGTCATGACGACGGGCAAAGTAGTAAAAAAAAATAAAAAAAAAATAATAATAATAATAATTCACCCCCGACGGACTCGATTGTAAGTACATGTGGTACGCAGCCGCCGGATAATTGCGCGGGGGTGTAACAGCACACCTTTCACACACACACACACGCACATCCATAAACAATACAAACACATAAAATATTATTTTATTATCGAGAACGCATGTTTTTTACGACACCGTGGGGGGGGAGGTGCTGAGGAAACGCCGCCGTCAGCAATTTAAAGGGTTGGTGGAAAATAAAAAAGGATATCGCCTAATTTTCAATTTTTTTTTTTTTTTTTTTTTTTTTTTTTTTACACGATTCTCACGGTTTTCTCAATCTCGTCTCATTTACAGGGTACAACGGAACGAATGGCACCAACAATGGGATTTATTCGCCACCAGACGGATAGTCGATTTATATCAATTATCCGTCTTACGGTTTATTTTTTTTTTTTTGTTGTTTTGTTTTTATCATACAATCCTTTACTTTGCCGGCGGCGGTGGCGGACGAGAAGTATCTGCGCGGCAGCTGTCGCGGGTCGACATCATCACCCGGAAAGAATAATGGCATTCAAATTCAGACTGCACGCAGTCGACTAAATTAGATAACCTTTATTTTTTTTTTTTTTTTTTTTTTTTTTTTTT